TGAGTTCCTTGTCAATCAGCTGTGCTTTGTGTTAACAACAACATTCTGTTATAATCTTCCCTCATTCAATTTAGAGGACCCACTGATTGTCTGCATTGTCCTGTGAGGCTACATGATAATCAGTGACCATTACCATGCAGACCTTCTCCACTTAAAGTATTAGTATTATAACTATGACTGGCTCAATGTATTCATTTAACTACAAGAGAAGCAGCTATACCGTTTTTTAAAACTTTGTAGATAAACCATGACATCACAGATTTTTTTAAAAACCAACAGGGTGGTGGAGAAATAATTTATTGATCTACATGTGTATTTGTAGCATAGCTTGGAAAGTACACATTTGAATGAACACAGAGGAGGGTCACAGGTGAGACTCACAGCTGTGTGTGTTTGTGTGTATGTACTTGTACAGATATCTTTGTGAGGACCAATTTGAGCCTAGAACGTGAAGGGTGAGGACATTTTGGCTTTCTTACCCACTTCCAATGGACTGTTGGAGGATTAAGTCTTGTTTTTAGGGTTAGAATTAGGTTTAGCTAAGGGTTAGGGTTAGGCATAAGGTTGTGATGGTTAGGGTAAGGGGCTGCGGCATGCATAATGCCAATGAGTTTCCTCACTAACATAGAAGTATTAGTTTGTTAGGGTTAGATTATTTTATTTTAATTTCTCTGGGTTTGAGAGTTGCATGATGGGAAAAATAATTTTTGGAAGTAACAATAAAACCCAGATAGGAATCAAAATCAAAGTCTGGAGGAAAAGACACATATTCCTTCATAATACTAGTGAAGCTGAATTTGTTCAGTCATTACCAATTATCAGGACTGAACTTTACTGGTTCAAACCCTTTGAGGTGCATGTGTGTACATTGTTCCATGTATAATTAGACAGGAACAGTGAGAGAGGAAATGCAGGACCTTCTAATATCATACATTTCTAATTTAAATCCACAAATATCATCTGGGGCACAATCAAACAGGATCTTTAGGATTCTTACTGTGAACAATTCACAGAGATAAATGTATGATAATTTAGTTTGTGATAAATCACATAAAATCTTAACAGAAATGTGATATTACCTACAGAATTCAGAATTGGCTCAGGTTTTTAAGAAGCAAATCTTTGTAATCAGCCATGAATCAGTCCCTTCCTTTTTATTAACGAGCTCCAAATGAGGGAACAGATAATCAAAGGAGAGAAGGGAAGAAAACACCAAGTTAGGCACCCAAGCGAGGGGATAGGAAGCAGAAGAGAAAAAGAGTAAAGACTAATGTCATGTCACGTTACCAGGGTCTGATCTATAGTGATGGATCACTGTTAACAACATATTCTTTATATCCATGCAGTATGTGGGGTATTGTATTTCTGTAGCCTAGGGGCAGTTTGCAACAATGGAGCAGTTTCTGTATTTCTATCAGTCTGACGCAGAGGAGAACACAGCGAGGGAGCCAGTGTTAGTTATTTTCATTCTGCAGATGGGAAGGACACAGAAACTGTAGGTGGACAGATGTGTGTTGGAGGACGTTTGGCAGGAATACTTTCAGATGAGTGGATATACTCAAGGGTCAGAGAGGGAGATTTTACAGCATACAAAGGAATATCCTTAGAAGCTGTGGCAATGCTTCTTATTGTTGCAGGACTGATGAAATACAATTTTTCTTTTAATATTGATAAGGTCCAATTCAAAGCTGGGTGGATTAACAATAATTTAGAAGCATTATTTTTTAATTGTGTTGTAGCTGTTTGATTTACACAGAAACAATGCTTCTTATCAGCATTTCCAGAAATTAGCTTTTAAAAAATGAATCACAAGTACTTGAACACCCAAAACATGCGGCCCTGAATTAGGAACAGCAAAGTTAAGCTCTGTATATGAAGATGAGAGTAATTGGAGAAGGAATAGGAAAGGGGAAGGAGAGAAGAAAGAGAAATGGTGGAAGGTCAGAGATGCTGAGGTCTCATGGGTGAAAACATGGCAACACGAGAGTCCCACCGTTGTGTATATGTAAGTGAACAAATGGCATCTATACATTATCCAGCATAAGGTACAAAAAAAAGTCCATCATCTCTGCTGCTTTACGGCTGTATAATTACTATGGCAGTTAACAACAGTTACTGTAAACAAATCAGCTTATTGCAAACCTTTCCTTCCCTTTTCTTCAGTAAAAAAAATTCGTCCCATTAAGAAAAGAAATCTGACAATTCAGGAACAGACAACATTTCATGCAGTGAGAAGAGAATTTGTAAGATATTTGATCTTTGTGTACGATACAACAGTTTTGTTTCAACGACAGACAATTTAAAAAAAACAAGTTATGGCACGTTTTACCAGAACTGAAATTGCAACAAACACATTTCCCCATGTCAGAGATACCGAAGATTCCACTTAGGCTCATTGTTTTTCCCCTCCCACAGTTTATAAATTACATCTTATCTCATAAAACTCTTCATATATATTATTTTCATGCCACTTCATGCATTTGCTAACATTTTGGCACAAAGTCCTAGATGCTGCGAAGCTGCTGTTGTTGCACCTGTTTATCTGGTACATGTTTGATACTGAACATTTGTGATTTGTCAAGCACAATAACTACAACTAATCTGAGGGTTCTGGATAATCATATCAACACAGCAGTTAAGACTTAGTATGCAGAATATATATATTCTGTACACATTAAACTGACAATAAATATTTATATGGCATTGATTAATGCAAGGTGGCAAACGTACATGAAACTGGACCCTCTACCACAAAGCGTCATATAGAGTATGACCTTCAGGACTGTTTTCAGGCATTGTTTCAAAGAAGAGAGACACAGACATTATGGACGTTTTCACACCTGAAAGTCTGAACCAAGGTTCATTCTTTGTTATCTTGTTTACATTTGATCCAGTTAGATTTGTTATCACATTGTAATTTAGGGAGGGGTCTGAAATTTTTGTGTGACATAAACACATCCTGTCGTCATCTGGTGGGCAGTTGTCTTTTCGTAGTTAAATTAATGAAAGGGTTCATTTTGTTAAATTCACTACCTCAGTACGATCATTACGGTATTTCCAGCCAATTTCCAATGTGCCAAATGAACGTCCTCATCATTTAAACATTATGTCAGACGCAAAGACTGCAGCAATCCTTCATTCCTTCTTGCAATTGGTCTGAAAGTGTGCACAGTCCAAAAATATGTTTTTTCACTCTCCAAATGAACAGAACTTATTATTTTTATCTGGACCGAGACCACCTCTTTTGGCCCGACTTTATTATTTTGTTTCGGACAAAACTGAAACCTCAGAAGGTCCAGACCATACACGGTAGGTGTGAAAGCATCCTAAGTCAGGGGGTACCAAGATTATAATAAGGCCATTTAAAAAGATGAACAAGTTTATCTACAGTTCAGGTGGGACACAAGAGTAATGTTGGGATTACGGCACCAAGATAGAATGTTTTTTAGGTTGTTGGGTTAAAAGGCATAAAAATGCACGACATGGTTACATGACAAGAGTAGAATTTATAATTGCAAGCTTCAACCGAACAAATGTCCCATCTTCATTAACTGAGTCGCTCTACATTTGCCACATTAGGTTATTAAAATTCTGCTGCCCAGTCTGTGTGATGGACAAATATCCCTTTCACCTCAATGGAGCAGTTAATCCAAACTTGAAGGAATAGTTTGACATTTTGGGAAATAAAGCTTGTTCACATTCTCACGAGAGTTGGAGGAGAAGCTCAATACTACTCATTCAGCTGGTTAGCTTAGCTTAGCATGAAGACTGCTAAAGGCAGTTTGTGTCAGACTATTTCCTGCCAGGGATCAGTAACTTCTTGGGGTCTCCTCTGGTGGCATGTTAGCTGGCCCAAGATAGGAAATAGTCTAACACGTAATGCCCCATAAAATATCAGATTATCGTTTTCACACTTTGGTTTTTGTTTATATTATATAACCAAGCTCTATTGTGCAAATATGTGAGTTTTAGAGGAGCTAGTGGAGAGATTGTGTTCCTCTGAAAACTATATAAGAATTATATAGACCTTCTCATCTAACGCTTGATAAGAAAGCAAATAGGAGGATTTCCAAAAATATAAACTATCAATTCTTTAACAATATAAAATCTTTGCACATTTTCCAACAAAACCAGTCGACCCACATCAAGCTGAACTTACCATTACCATTGTCACATTACAGGATTGATGAGTAATGTTGTATTACAGTATGTTCAGCTACAGGAAATCATTCACATTGAGCTGTAGAAGCTACATAGTGAGCAGGTGAAACAGTCACTGGCTGTAACAACGCCAAAACAGGGGAAGCTAACAATGTGCCACATGGACACATTTAATATCCAAGCAAAGTGTTTATATGATGAAGCTACAAGCATGTGTGTGTGTGTGTGTGTGTGTGTGTGTGTGTGTGTGTGTGTG